GAAGAGTGACTCATTCCTTCTTTCATTTGTTCATTTATTAGTTCACTAAAAATACCAAGTTCCTATTGAGTGCCAGGCAATGTAGATACAGAATTAAATCTGTGAGCCCAAGCCCTCTGGGGGCTTGGTCTTTTCCCAAATTGGTCTTTATATCTCCATCTATCCCAACCACACCTGGCACTCTCTGCTCTCTCCCATCTCTCTCCCTCCTTTTCTCTCCTTTTCTTCCTTGCTGTCCCTCCTTTCCTCCCTGTTTCTCCCTCTCCTTGAGTTCTGAATCACTCAGGAATGTGCTTCTCCCACCTTCTGCAGAAGTCCTAGCACAGGGCCAAGTACCCAGTGGACACTAAGGAAAGTTACTGTATTTAGTGATTTCAGAGGCGAGTACTTAGGGAGACACAGGGCTTTATTCCCATAAACACGTGGCATTCATTATACTTCTGTCAGTCTACCTTGACAAAAGTTGCAGAAAGTTCTCCCTCCTAATAATCTAAGGGGGCCCTAGACTCATAGTAACAAATAGATGAGCAGAAACAATTCCCCTCCCAATCATCTATGGTCCATGTCTCCTGCATGTAGGTAGTCAGCTGGGGAGACCCTTAGAAAATCATGAGGGGCACCAGAAGCTCAATGCAGCAGAAGTGGGAACATTTTCCAATGCCTAATTTATCTGGATGTGGTGATTCTCTACAAAAATGTTGTATGGACAGATGTGTATGGAAAATAACCCAAAATCATAGATTTTTAAGACTGGAAGGAACCTCATCTGGTTCAATTCCTTCACTTTATAAATAATAAAAACCAGGACTCAGGGAGGAGATTGACTAAACCCTGATTGCCCAGCTTGTCTTGGGCAGGAGTTGAGGCGGGCACACTTGCCTCCCCACGAGGGGCCACCCCTTTCCCCAGGGCTGCCAGGAGCTGGGCACGTGCCTCTGCTCAGCCGTGTAGCTGGTGGCTGCTCCTGTGTACTCAACCACGACCCCATGACTACTCTCACCGCTTCTGCCCAATGCACCTTATCCTTCCTTATGGCGACTAGAGAGAACTCTCAGGAGCTCTGGGACTCTGTGCCAATGAACAACTCCCTTGAATGGCAAGCCTGCTTTTATTCAGGGAAACAGGATTATTTTCCGTCCTCTTGTTCAGCCATCAAGGAATCCGATATTCTTTGAAGAAAATGTAGAGTGGCAATCCATTAGACCATTTGCATTGTAATTAAGTCATACTAACGTCAAGTCCAACAGTTAGGTTCCAGCATTTTATAAACACTGACGTTTTTTACCTATGTTTAAACTTCAAAAAAAAAATAACATACACACTTGCATGTAATTTAAAGAATGGTAAGACCTGACACTTGATCCTCATAGTGACTCTAGTAGGAAAAGATAGGTTAGGTATCATTATCCCCAATTTAAGGATGGGAAAAACCTGCTCAGAGATGCCATCTTCCCCAGTCACACAGGTAATAAACTGCAGTGTTGGAGCAATGACCTTATCTAAAACTCTTTCCTCCGCATTGTGCAATTTACCTGTAGAATTTTCTGCTCATGTTTTGCATATCAACATCACTGAAGAGCTACCTTTTCTGTTACATGTGAGCCATTTAAGACACTTGAGTCATTTAATAAGGAGCACAGTTTGACCCTGCAACTTCAGGAGCAGCCCAACACAGGCACTGCACTCTCCTGGATACTAAATGACACAGAGGGGTGATGGGAGGCTAAACTTTGGGGTTCACAAATGGGAATGACCTTTATTTTTAATTATTCATAATTTATTCTCTACATTCTTTCAAAAACAATCTGAGATGGCTCTTAGCTCTGACAATAATTCAATCAAAAATAAGGGTTGTATTCATTTACTCATTTAAAAAAAAATTTATAGACACAGAAAAAAATATTTAGAAGGCTATATCCCAAGTTGTGTATCATTTATCTATGAGTATAGATGTATTGATGATTATTATTAATGTTCATCTGTATTTTATCTTTTTCTGTAATGAATATTTATGACTTTGGTGATAAGAAAATAATGATTTTGCTTATATGTGGAATATAAAAGAACCTGAACTCCTGGAAACAGAGAATAGACTGGTGGTTGCCAGGGGGGTGGGGAAAATGGGGAGACGTTGGTCAAAAGGTACAAGCTTCCAGTTATAAGATGAATAAGTTTTCAGGATCAAATGTACAGTATGACTACAGTTAACAATATTGTATTAGACACTTGAAAGCTGGTAAGAACATTTAAACCTTTAATGTTCTCACTACAAACAATAAAACGGCAATATATACATGTATTAAGTCATCATGTGTATACCTTAGACCTACACAATGTTATATGTCAGGTTATATCTTAATAAAGTTGGGGGTGGGGGGAGAAAATAAACATAAAGATTATTTTTATTTTTAAAACATAGTCTTTATTCCGAAAAAAAATGGGAAAAGCCGGTTATCTCCACAGGGGGTTAGGAAGCTCTATTATTGTCAACCAAATGAATGGAAAATGAAAATGGCACTAAAAGCCCCCAGACCAGAACCTTTGCCCTGATTCTCCATTTGGGTACTCTCAGACACAAAGAATATAAAACAATATACCAGGACACCAGTTTCACACGAATATTCCGGGTCAAAAAACTCTTTATGTATTTCAACTTAATTTGACATGAAATCAAATGGGAAAAAAACTGCTTAATTCTTAAAACAATTTTCAAGCTCTTTGGGGCCAATTTGAACTATACTCCAACCCCCCAGAACCTCGTTGGTCTTCCCTTCTATTGGAGAATCTTCCATGGACAAGTTTCAGAAGCCCTAAGGCAAATAGTCCTGTCTTATTTCCCCCCTTTTTGAGAAAGCAGCAACCTCATTAATACTAAATCCCTTTTCCTGTTAGTTTTTTAAAGTCAAAACTTTCATATCTACTGTATCTTTAAAAACTCTTTATGAAACAGGTGGCAACAAATATATTACCAGGAAAATCTGGACACCCACAGGCACATAGGGGGAGCACTTCCTGCCCTGGTGTGCAGGATCTAAGGATGGTGGGACCTGGGCCGACTCACATTTCTGCAGGGTAGCAGACCACTCTGCACAAGGTGCTAATTCATTCATCCCACAAATGTGTATTGAGTGAAGCCTGAGAAAGGACTTATATGGGACAGTGGAATCATTCACAAGCCAACGGTCAGGTCTAACGGATCAGATGTGGACAATCAATCTTTCATTAGACCTCAAGCCACCTCTAGGATAAAGCAAACAGGGCCTCTGCCCCATCCACTCACTGGCAGCTGGATGGGATCAGGCAGGCATTCTTGAGCAGGACTACTGGTGGAGAGAGGCTAGGGCAGTCACTGATGCTCACCAGAAAGACCAAAACTCCTGCACCATAAATGATGTAATGCCTCTAAAACTGTAAACAGCAACTGGCATCTAATGAGAACTCAGTAACAGTCATTTTTGCTGTTACCCTCCCAGCTTCCCCTTACTCAAGGAGCACTCACAAAGGGGAAAGTACACAGGTTTAGTTAGAGTCAGAGACACTGGATTTGAATCCCAGCTATGCCACTTATTAACTATGTGACCAAGAGAAGCAATCTTTCTGTCCTCAGTTTGTCATTTGCAAAATCGGAAAAATGACTGTATTCCATCCCTCTTGTGGCTTTGTGAGGATTAAGGACATGGCATATGCAAAGAAAAGCATCTGGCCCTTAAGTGTCCAATAAAAGATAATCAATATTGCTACTGCCCTGCTCCCTTCCTCATCACCCTTGACAAGTCCTGAAATCAGATTTCACCCAGGTACCACATGAAGGGCAGAAGGGACTACAGGGGTGAGGGAAGGGGAGGAGCAAGGAGCTGCTGGAGACCTTCCACCTAAACCCATCCAAGTCCACAGCTCCTTTCAACCATCCTCTGTGTGGCTGCCCCATCCAACTGGCGGCTGGGGTCACCATTCCCTAGTTGGGAATGGATGTCTAGAAGGGGACAGGAAGCTGGGCAGCAGTTTGAATCCAACCTACCTTCTAGTGTTTGTCTGGCGCCCCAGTGAACTTCCTCTGCACATCCCTGCCAGGCCGTATGGGTAAGAAGGCTGACAGTATGATTCATAGTCTGTTCTTATTTAGACTTCATCTCAACCCAGAGCCCAAAACTCTGGAGGCTGGTTACAAACCAACACTAAATGAAAATAAGGACTTCTCATTAAGACAGGAAGTGGAGCCCGTCAAAGGCGATTTATAAAGGGTGGAGGGAGGAAATGGAAGGGGGAGGAGGCAGGATGGGTGCAGAGATAGAGGCCCACTTCCTACATGTTGGTGCAGCCCTCTGTCTTAGGTGTTGAAGCAGCTGGTTTTCCACTTTGAAAGATGATAAATCCCATTCCTGTGATTTATAATTCACTGCAGGACAAGGTCTGGATGTAGGAAGAGACTTCCAAAACAAACCTGTTCATTTTCTAAGCAGAAATCAGCAGTCCCCAGCTCCTCCTCCCCTCCAGCCCACCTGTAGACAGGTCCTGATGCCACACCTTCCTCCTCGCGAGCAATCTGAGAGCACTTACTCTGTTGTCAGCCCCAAGCCCAGAGTCAGTCCTCAGAAGCCCCAGCAAGTGCGACTGCCCAGCAAAATCCCCGCCTGCCTGGGCACCTCGGATTCCTGGAGACTCGGCCGCTGGGCAGCGGAGCTGGCTATTGAGTAGGTGGTAAATCGAGGAAGGGGCACTTGCCGAATGCCAAAACGCAGTTCATATTTTATAATTCAGAAGACTAAAAAGCATCATTCAACACCGACTCCCTCATTTATCAGAGGAGAAAAGAGACTCAGAGAGGGAAAGAAAGTTGCGCGAGGTAACAGTGGGAGTGGGCAGCGAGGTCGAGACTAGAACCCCAGCGCGCCGTGAGCCGCAGCCCGGCAGAGAGCGCGTCTCGCCGCCTCCCGCGTCCCGGTGCCCGCAGACCCGAGCAGGGTGCTGCAAACCCCGCGACCCTGGGCGCGGCACGTTACCTTCCTCAGGACCGGGCGCCGCGAGCCTCCTGTGCCTCCGCGGGGTGCCGGCGTTTCTGCTCGGCGGGCGGCCCAGGTGTCTCCCCGCCGCGGTCAGCGCGGGGCGGCGCGTGCAGGCTCTCCCTCCGGGGGCGGGCGCGCAGGGCGGCTCCCGGCTCTCGGGCCAATGGCGAGGCGTCCGCGGCCGGTCCCGCCCCCGCCTCCCGGGCCCCAGCCGGTCCCCTCTGTTTCTCCCGCACCTACGGGGTCCTTACCCGCCTCGGCCTTCTCTATCTAGGCCTCCTTCTCCGGTGTACCTTGCCCGGAAACAACTTTCTTCCTGGGCAGGTAGACAGTGCGGCAGTTATTTTGTGACCACTGTGCGTGAGAGGGCCTTGGAGCCCCAGGGCGTGGAGCTTGGGGAGCCCCTCGGGTCAGAGAATGCGGCGGGCCATCGAGCAGAGGAAGAGGGGATCTGTGTTAGAGCAGAGATGCTTTAACTGCTGGGACCCGCAGTTGGGGGGGCACGTGTAAAATAAGTTAAAGTAATAGATTACAGGTTGTTGAGAGGATTAAATGACGTGATGCTTTAAAAGTATCTAATAAAATAATCCCTGGATAAATGGTGAGCGTGATGCGCACTGCTTGAGCCAGCCAATGAGCGTGCAATGCGAACCGGCATGCTGCTGCAAGGCGCTGGCCGGTGGGCAGGCCGGCACGCCTACAAATACAAAACTTACATCGGAGAAATGAAAAACGTTCCTGATGATAGAACCAGCCCAGGCAAGTGTCCGAAGGAGGTGAACCTTAAGGGCTTCCTTACCATCTCCCGGACTAGTGTGGGCCGTCCAGCTGAGGGTGGCTCAGGGCTGCCTTCAGTTCCTCTAAAGATCTTCCTTCTCCCAAACGTACAAATGCTGATACCCAAGGACCTCATTCAGGGCCGGGCGCTGCGCTGCTAACCTGGTCTAGGAATCTTTCGCTGTGTTAATATGAGTATCCTGGCCTTCACCCAGGCGTTAAGAAACTATCTGTCCCTGTGCTGGGTGAGCGCTGGGGATGAAAGGCAGAAGTCACTTGCCTTGCCTTTGAAGAGACAAATTTGTAAATGACCTCAATTTAGCGCATTATTGGCTATAATAGGTATATGTGGTATAGAGTCATACATGGGGGGAAAGGAGGCCAGTACGAGTTTAAACACAGACGTGGCCAGGGTAAGTCTTAAGGAGAGTTGTAATTTAGGCCAGACAGGAAGAGAGCATGGTGGGTGCAGGGCGGCAGGCAAAGACATGGAAATGCCTATCATGGATCACAACTACCACACCGAGTGCATGACAGCGAGGCAGAGATGAGGCCAAGGAGGTAAGACGACAAATGCAGGAAGAGGAGCCATGCCCGCCCTGCTGAGGGAAGTGGATTATATTCTGGTGGCAGTGGCTGCAGGTGACTGATTTTGAGCAGGGGAGTGGCCTGACCTCGTTCGTTTTGGGTATCTTGCTTTCAGTGTTGACTGTGCCTGTCTTGAGTGTGTCCTTCCTGCCCCCTTCCAGCCCGGAGGCAGGCACTGCACCTGGCTCACCTGAGGCTGCCTTGCCTCACCTGCTGCAGGGCACGGACTAGTGTGGGCCGTCCAGCTGAGGGTGGCTCAGGGCTGCCTTCAGTTCCTCTAAAGATCTTCCTTCTCCCAAACGTACAAATGCTGATACCCAAGGACCTCATTCAGGGCCGGGCGCTGCGCTGCTAACCTGGTCTAGGAATCTTTCGCTGTGTTAATATGAGTATCCTGGCCTTCACCCAGGCGTTAAGAAACTATCTGTCCCTGTGCTGGGTGAGCGCTGGGGATGAAAGGCAGAAGTCACTTGCCTTGCCTTTGAAGAGACAAATTTGTAAATGACCTCAATTTAGCGCATTATTGGCTATAATAGGTATATGTGGTATAGAGTCATACATGGGGGGAAAGGAGGCCAGTACGAGTTTAAATACAGACGTGGCCAGGGTAAGTCTTAAGGAGAGTTGTAATTTAGGCCAGACAGGAAGAGAGCATGGTGGGTGCAGGGCGGCAGGCAAAGACATGGAAATGCCTATCATGGATCACAACTACCACACCGAGTGCATGACAGCGAGGCAGAGATGAGGCCAAGGAGGTAAGACGACAAATGCAGGAAGAGGAGCCATGCCCGCCCTGCTGAGGGAAGTGGATTATATTCTGGTGGCAGTGGCTGCAGGTGACTGATTTTGAGCAGGGGAGTGGCCTGACCTCGTTCGTTTTGGGTATCTTGCTTTCAGTGTTGACTGTGCCTGTCTTGAGTGTGTCCTTCCTGCCCCCTTCCAGCCCGGAGGCAGGCACTGCACCTGGCTCACCTGAGGCTGCCTTGCCTCACCTGCTGCAGGGCTTTGTGTTTTCAGTGCTCACTCCTCCCAGTGTTACTCTTCCCCAGAAAGCTAATGCCTAACTGCTAGGGAGGGCCTAGGGATTCTCACTTCAGACTCTGGGGCACACAGATGGGGGAGAGGCAAGCTCTTTGTTGGGACCCTCAACTTGTCCAAAGAGGTCACATAGTACAGAGGTTAAAAGCTAGAGCTCAATCAAATGGCCAAAGGCAACAAATAGTGGCCCCACTACTACTCACAGGACCGTAGGCCAGAGTTACTTAACCTCTCTGTGCCTCAGTTTGCTCATTTGTTAGAGATGACGATGATGATGATGCTCCTGCCTAAGGCTTCTGTGAATGTTAAAATGTGGAAGTACATGTGTTTTGCTAAGTGCCTTTCTCACGGACAGTACAGACTTAATCTTAGTTACCATGATCATATCAAGTCTGCAGTGGCTTATTCCTCTTAACCTATAATAGTAGACTGCCACTCTTCAGAATGGTTTGCATATGTGACACTTAAATCTCCCAGAATTCTCTTTTGACATTGAAGGGGAAGGCAAGGGGGTAGGTATGGTACAGTTCCGGGGGAACATGTATGGACTTAGGTGCATGTCCCAACTCTACCACTGGACTCTATACTGAACTAGCCAGTAACTTTGCAAAAGCCATTTAACCTCTATAGGCCTCTGTTCCTCTTCTATAAAATAGAAACAGCAATATTACCTGACCCTTGCAAGGGAGGTGCTGCAATACACACAGCACATTGCCTGGCCAAGGTAAGAGCTCAATAAATGTTAGCTACTAGTATGATAATGGTTAGAAGTGAGGTCTTATACTTTTTGGAAAGGGAAAAGTAGTCTAACAGTAATGCAGTGGAAGAGGGAAGTGTAATGCTGGAGAAAACAACCTAAACACAAAGGTTAGTGATGGATCTGTGAAAACTGCTGGGGACAGGAGAGGAAGTGAGCTTAGACCCCTGCTGGGGTGCATGGGCCTGGAGGAGTATTCCAGGGGGGCTTGGGTTAAATTCGGAACCCCTGCCTGAACAAAGATAAAATGTTCGCAACTCTATAGAGCTGAAGTAAAAACGGAGGGCTGTCAGCAGGGCTGTCTGGCTGCTCTCTGCGTTGTCCTTCTAGAACAGTGGGATGCTGCCAGGCTGGTGCTTTCAAACGGGAATCTAGGATCCACCCCCTACCGCCACCCAGCTGTGGCTCTGTAGAGTCACAGGAGCACTGCCAAGTCATTTAGTTCTATCAGCTAGTTAGTGGGTAAATATTTATTTATGGGGTGGGCTAGGTGTGGTTCCTCCAGGTTTGAAACATCCTTCCCTCTGTTTCACAAGGAATCTCTCCTCATGCATCAAGACCCAGAACATATGTCATGAGATTCTGCCTTCCTAGGTTGAATGAATTCATCATTCAAATTTCCCCAAGGTGTGTTCCTGAAGCCTTTTCTTGGTATTGATTTCTTCTTACTATTAGTTGTCACAGAATATGCCACTCCCCACCAATTTAAATTTCTCCCAATTCAGGGACAACTTTTCTCTTTGTACTATTCTCACCACCTCCACCCTTCCTCCAGCCCCATCTCTACTCCAAATGCCTTGTATGCCATAGGTGCTTAATAAATGCTTGCTAAATCTCATTGGTGGGCAGGTCTCTCATAGCAGACATGTTGCCACCATGGAAAAGTAAAAACAAAAAAACAGACAAAAATCTTCCTTGTAAAGATATGACTCTGCCTTTAAACTATGTGGATTTATAACTTCTTGCCCAGCAAAAATTGAAGATATTGCTGAAATGCTGTACAATTACATCTAGTGTGGTAGTGTGGTTAGATGGCTTTGAGCAGTAAGTATCAAATGTGCACTATTTAGAACACAACTCAGTTGTGGTACTGGGTCGCCAAAGCAGGAATTTGGTTTTTCAAATAATTGCAAATACTGAGTATCTTTTCAACTTTTGGAAGTACAAAACTTTGGCCTTGAATCAAATTGTGTTAGCAATCTCTCCACAGTCTTTAATAATGCCTTGCATTTCTACAGGGCTTTGAATTTTTCAAAGCTCTCTGACTTTGTTTATCTCCTTTGATCTTCACATCAGCCCTATGATGTAGGAAGGGCAGCTATTACTATCTGCATTTTACAGATGAAGATAGGAGGAACTTGGATCAGGCCCCAAGCCCAAGCCAAATGGTAAGCTAGCAACAAAGTCAAGGTTAAAACCCAAGGACCTATTATACCAGAGAGATTTCTGATATTCATGAAGATTTTGACATCATTATTTACGACCCTTCTGAGCAATGATCTTACGCAGATATTGCTTAATTTACATTCATGCGTATACATTTTCATACTGAGTTCCTTTTGCAAAGTAAAGAAAACCTTTGTAGTGATCATCTCCCTCAGATATGTATGAATAATAATTATAATTTATTACTTCAGTGGCTTTCATCTGTGCATATAAACACACATTCCAACATTCATTATGCTGTCAAAACATCTCTAGATTTACTCTATTGATGTTTAAGAACAAATTCTCTTATTTTAATGTTTAAAGAAAGAACAAATGCTACAAAGACACAGAAAGTAGAAAAGTTGTTTACCAGGGGTTAGGGGAGGGGAGGATGGGGAGTTCCTCATACCTACTTTCACTGCAGGATGTTGAAAAGGTTCTGGAGACGGATGGCTGTGATGGCTGCAGAACAATGTGGATGGACTTCATGCCACAGAACTATACATTTTTCAATGGCTAAAATGGTAAATTTTATGCTACGAAT